GTATCGATCCCGATCCTTACTACCAAGAATGAGCTCCCGGAGAACTTATGGAATCGGTAACGATGTTGTTTATCGATACTTCGACCTTCACACGTAGATCGCGAGCTCAGAGGAACGTCCGAGCCGTATCCCTTGTCAGGTCGCTCGCTTTAGAGAACCCGCCAATTTTCCCATGATACTCTCTCTTAGAAATCGTCGTGGTGTTCAGGATTTTTTCCGATCAAGCATCAGAGACTCAGTTCTCCCGAGCTCGGAGAAATAGACCGAACGCCGAGTGGATACACAAGGGGAGATCCTCGGGATACACCCGCGGGGGTCGACGGCAAAACGGAGAGTCACATTATGGAACGGACGAATTTAGAGAGTTCCTTCGCTCTCCCGGCGTATATCCTTTACGTGATCTGTTTTCATCACTACATGCGGGTCAAAGAGAATTTCAATCCGCCGACTTGGATGAGGCCATCTGTCCGTCCGGTCGCGGAACAGCTACTCGGAGGCCTCGGTCATCGGCCGTCTCTCCGCGCCTCCGGCGGTCTCCAAGGTCATCTGTTGCCGACCCTCGATGGTAAGGAATGTTCAGGCACTGCGAAATTCGAATTAAAATCTAGAAGTTCGATGCCGAGTAATCGCATTCAGGGACCGGAGCTCATCTGCTGCAGGGTCTGCTTTTTTGCGCTTCGGAGAATCGCGAAGCCCACTAGCGTTTCCTAGAATCCGTAGGAAGTTAAAGCTTGCGATCTGCATTCGAGAACGAGCATTCCTGATCCCCATGCAAGAGCTTTGTACAGCGAAAAAGGACTGGAGCCCGCTGCTGAACTCTCGCACGAGAGTCCCCGGAAAAGGTCAATCGTCCGCTATTCCCGACATGTCGTTGCCAGTCGGGCCTGTCCATTTGTCGATGAGCTTTTCTTCCATTACAGGATCCGTGTATCCTATTCCGCGTGCTTGAATCATGGATCAGATCCGGTTGGAATCGCGTTCCGCACTCCCTTTCCTCCCCCGCAGCAGCTTTCCGCAGGAACTGCTCCGTTGAAATCGCAGCCCCACCAATGTGTATAGTAAAACTAACTCGATTTCGTGAGCGACAGCCAAGTCTATCGCTAGAGGATCTTGCATCCCGAAAAATAAGCATGCCCCGACTATTCGAGCTCAGAGCCGCGCTCCGATATTAGGAAGTTATAGCTCGCGATATTTCTTTACATAGTGTTTCACTGATGGAACAGTGCCACCAGAACCGTGCGTCTGATCGATTGTAATCGATAGAGCTCCCTGGAGAGAGCTCGTCGTTAAGTCAAAGGAGAGCGAGTCACACCTTCAGAGTCGAGCTGAGCTCTTCAAAGGTTTTCCGCGTGCCTCTCAAAGTGCAGGAGACGACGTCCCCCGAGTGCTTCCAACTCCGCTTGCATATCAACAGGCTTCAAAGGGCAAGATTGCCGAGACTGCGAGCGCGACGGCAGGCTCAAAGTTCCCGACGCTCGATCGCGGTTCGACTGCTCCTTTGCTCAGTCTGGAGGCTGCTGAACTCTGAGTTTGTTCTTATTCCTAGAAATCTATATCCCATCCGAGTCGAGCTCGATCCCTTGGAAAGGAGGGACTGCGCTCTTGGAAATCCACCATGATTTGGAATGCTTTTGCGGAGGTTATTACCTATGTATAGAACAAGCACACGTGACTCTTTTTGCAACCGTGACAGTGAGTTTCACCCCATTCGTGAGTCCTCCGACGACAGAATGATCGAGATCTTAAGTGCAGTCGTGACATCTTCTTTTTCATCCTTTAGAGAGCGACGCCGACGCGGTTCTTAATTCATCATCGTGCCTCATGAGCTCGATCGAATCGTCATCGCTTCGAGCACGTTCGAATCACATTCTTAAGGACAGAAAGGATATAAGTTCGTGCCTCGGATGAGCCGGAGCTGAGCTCTGTGAGCACAGCTCCGAATGATGCACTGCGAAGCTCTTCGGAAGCGCTCCGTGGGTTGAATCTCGTAGGGCCCTCGGAGGAAATAACTTACAGTGAGCCATTGCAGCTACCTTGACAGTTCTCATCGTCGTGATCCTTTGATCGAATAATTGACTCCAGGCGGGAAGTCTAACGGGGAAGAGCTAGAGCGACGTTTTCTGCATGGTATCCTGCGCCGATCAAGTATATGATTTTGAAGCTGAAATTCCCCCAATATTCCCGATCAATTTGAGGCAGACAGGTATCGAGAACGAGGATGGAAAATGGAGAATAGGGAATCTCGGGGGCTGCCTGGGCAGGCACTCCCATCATGCATCGAACGACTTGGTTTAGAGAGCCTCTCGGAAGCCGGTTCCATGATCCTTGATTTGACGCATTTCTACCTGGATCAGCATCCACGGTCCTTGACCCTACCCTATTTCTACACTCCAGCTTATGAGAGTCCGGCGAAATAGTAGTAATGATGTTGATTATAATTGATAATGGATCACGAATCAAGAAAAATATTCCGACGCCGGGAATTGAACCCGGGCCGCCTGGGTGAAAACCAGGAATCCTAGCCACTAGACCACGCCGGATGTTAGCACGGTGACGCGTCTTCCTTGCGTTAGTCTGGTCAATGAGCTTTCGCTCAAGGGTTCCGTCTCGGTCTGTGTTTTATTTGCTTCCAGCGATTGAATTGTAATCCATGAGTATTTATCATCCACCAGTCGCCGGCGAGGCTAGGATTCCTGGTATCATTCGATTTGTCCGTTGTCAAACTTTTCAAGGGTCGGCGCTTGAACGACTCACTGCAGAGGGATGAATCGACTTCGAGGGTTCATCTTTCGACGACTCTAAGGCGGCGCTCCCTGATCGATTTCTTCGTCTTCTCCTGAACGTGAGCTTCAGCATGCGAGCAGGTTCGAATCGATCAGTAGCCGATCGATAGCCCTTAAGCGAGCGCGAAAAAGTCAAGTCGTTCCAGTGACTTCCGTGAGGAGCCTTATCTATCTTCGGAAACGGTGCAGGAGCCCGTTCTCAGGAACCTTGCCGCCAATTATCGGAGCTGATTCAAGGAATAACACTGAATTCCAGGCATCCCAGAGGAGGATCGAACATCTGACAGAAGAAAACGAGACGTGGATTCGATCCCGATAGCGATGCGCACATGACAGCTCGAACGAACTTGATCGGGCTGCCGCGAGCAGTATAAGGGGAACCTCCTCAGGAAAGATGCAATCTAACCCACAATGAGACTAGGATCACAGTGTTGAATATCGTTGAGATCGAACATAGACTCCATCCATTTTGAATCTTAAACTGAACTGATAAGAAATACTGTGTCCAGCGGTGTAAGAAGTGTTCATCTTGAATCGAGGAACAATACCGTTCTAAGTCCATCGATCATGCCGAGATAATTAGGGTCGGATTTTCGTCGGATGCCGAGTATAATAGGCACTCTCACGATCCGAGTGAGTGGCGCGGCGTGAGCTCTGATCGCTCTTTCTCCCTTCAACGCTTGATGAATGTACGCTCAACACATATTGGAGGAGAAGGATCAAGATTCAATGATTCCACGTGTTCCAGGAAAACAACTCGAGATGCTTGGACGAACCTCGAGACACTTTGTGCACTGCGAGGCTCCCGTGTTCCCCGGTAGAGGATTTTTGAGCTCATCGAAAGCCGCCGTCCTCAAAACACGAGAACAGGCCTCATGAGCGGCTGAGAGCTTTCGAAGTGATCTGAGATCACCAAAAGCCGGCTTTTCGACCGGCTCCGACCAGCCGTTCGCTGACCATCTTCCCACGATTGGGGGGTTCAAGGGGGCAGTGTTAGGGCACCGTTTCTCAAGAGCAGGCAAGTGTCCCATCGGTGGGTCAAGGCGATTTCCTAGGGGGTCTCGGGACTTCCGGGTACTTCCGTACTATCGATTCAAGGCTCATAGCGAAATGCTTCGAAAGCAGAATTTGTACAGGAAGATGACCTTAGCCAATGATTTTCGCATAGAGTGATTCTGCCAGACCTTTTTTCTCGTCAACGTCATTTTGCTCTCTCTGAGTGAGATGCCCGCTCCCTCCAATATTCTCTGTGTGCTGTTGGGCCCCGGACAGCTGCCGTACTCCGGATGTGGGTCACCGGAGAAAAACTCCTGGGGCACACTGGGTTAGGATCCTTGTCTTTGGAGGGAACGAATTTTCGATGGGAATTGGGAGCCCGTGAAGATCGGTGGGGATCAATCAAGAATCGGAATCCGTTGAAATTATAAATTATAACTGTTTATTGACATACCGTCTTCGCTAAACACTGGTCAACGCTGGACTATAATAAGTTCTGTGAAGTCTGGATACAATACAATCCGAGAAGGTATTTACACGGAATTCCCCCCGAGGGATACTTTCCTAACGGTTTTCCAGTTGCTTTCTCGAACAACTCGCCAGGCGTAGGGTCTCTCCCAGCTTGCCAGACGAACAATGCGGGAAACTCTCGCTCTTAGTCAAGCTGAGGTGACCTCCCGCAGTTTGACGAGCCGAACGCCCGAAGGTCTCCGATTTCCCTTCGAAAGCTCTCGAGTCTTCGCTAGGGCCCACGGATACTCTCGGTAGAAAAAGAGAACGTGTGGTGAGCTACACTCGACTTCAATTCATACTAGAAATTCGCTAAATAGAAAGTTTCTCTAGTTTCACCCTCAGGTTTTAATCCCACCGGAGGTCACGTGGTTCGTCCCGATTTATTCCCTGTGGCCTTCTCTACCCGGAATCGTCTGCGACTTCGCTCCTCCGCCTGCGCTCGCTCCTCGATCCTTTCTCCGATCTGCATTTGAATTTCAATGTCAGCACGTCACTGCGGAAGGCTGAATCTTTGCTGGAAACTTAGTTACTGAAAGAACTTCAGACTGCCTCCTCGCACGTCCGCCTGATAGTGAATGAGTGTGGGGACGACTCTTCAACGGTTTGTATTCTGGATCCACAGAATCGAGTTGCCTATCCTGCAACCGTTGCGGACTGATGCGGGGAATACGAAAGACGAAATTTCCGCAGAGACTGCTCGGATGTGGATCATCTGCGACCTTTCACGTGAACCACTTTCGGTTTGAGGGGCTGCAAAGAAAGTAGGTATTCGAGTGTGCTTATCGGGACTATGACCCATGGTTTCAGGAGGATCCAAGGACAAGAATCCGGTATGATGTCCTGCGATGTCTAATGGAAATCCCAGGCTCAATCCCGAAGTCTCAATTGATTAGGGGTGCAATCCCTACTGGTACCACTTTGTCCGAAGCTACTTACCGGGAGAATGCTGAACCAGCAAGTGAGATCTTCTGACACGCAGAGGACGGCTCCGGCATTATCGAACTCCCCGCAGTAGTTGGGCGCGGAAAATATCGTCACCAGCTAGAAGCGAAAGAAAATTCGGTGTCGGCAATCAGGAAGCCCCGTGAGCCTTCAATAGACCGGCGATTCTTGCTTGCGTGGACGTCATGGCCCACTGGTATACATATTCCATGATTTATTTGAATCGCACTCCTACGGAATGCGGGTCGAATGCATAGACTGTATCGGCTCGATTCGATCGGAGAGCGGAACTCAGCTGGCCATTTAGGGAAGCGGCTCGAGAGCGATCCTTGGATCCTTCCATCGAGATGGGAAATCATTATAGTTCATCTATACTCCTCTGCGAAGCCACAGGCCAGGTTCCCGAAACGCAAAAGGAAACGACCGACCTTTAAGAAAAATCGAAAATCGCTCCGGGGAAGCAAGGAGAGGCTTTGATCTCCGAACGGACAACAGGAGATCGCGCGTTCGGTCAGGACCGTCTGCTACGCCCCGTCCCCGCGAGAATCCGACTCGATGCGTCAATAAAATTCTGCGATGGATTCCAAGAGTTTTTACTAAGCTTCTCCGTCGTTCACCATTTGCGGACGATTCGGGCAGAAACAGAAATCCTAAGACAGCAGACTAACAGCGTCTTGCTAAGTTACGATACCGGTCGGGAACAAATTATCCATTTAGTTCGTCTTAGCTCCGGACGAAAATCACTTGCCGGCAAGATGCTGAGTCGGAGAAATCCTCCGAACGATTCGAGGAGGGAGTCTCGGCGAGTCGCTATCGTCGAGCCGAGCTCTAATTGAGGTACAGAAAAGTTTCTATTGACATTAAGTGGAAAACGCACACCGAAGCTGTTTCGCCGCTAAGATTAGCACCGTAAGGCGCCCGCGGCGGCGACGAGCTGCGGCTTCACAGCATTCGGGCACATCGACGTAGGAGAAACACCTCTGAGTAAGTGCGAGAAACGGATGGAGTTCTCTTTCAATTAAAACAATCGGGTAGAAATCACGGACGCTCCCTCTCGGGGATAGCTGCCTGCGCGATCACGCGAGATGAGCGCCGATTATCTGCGCGGACGTTTCTCGGACGCAAACGGAAATTTCGGTGGCCTCGAGATACTCTCAGGCCTCAGGGTTCGCTTCTCAGAAACCAGCTCGGGGCGAGGCCCCTCAGCTCCGACTCGACATCCGAGACAAGGAATTCGGAATGCGATTCCTCAATCAATATTTTGAGCGTCGACCGTAACCTCTGGAGGAGAACTTCATTATAATCCAAACATTCCGGGACCGATCGTGAGCGCCGATCGCGACCATAAAGAGCGCAAGGTGTCAACCGCAGCTCATCCAATCAAGACAGCGAGCGGATCGAGTACTGGTATTAGCGATTGAACGGTCGAGTGAACAGGCGATCAGGGCGAATTGTCTCTCAGGCGTCGCGGGATCCGGCTCCCGGATTTATCTCACCTGTCGTTTTTGGAAGAACTGGTATCCGTCCTCGACAACTTGATGAGCTCTTACGATGAGACTGCAATTGTGTTTCTCCAGGAAAGTGCGAACGACCTCGCCTCCGAACGTAAACGACACTCCGCGATCGTTCTGACCCCAGCCTGGAAACACCGAACGAAAAAGCAATTGCTGTTATCGGTGGAATGCTCGTTCTCTCCGAATCGATCTGACCGAGCGGGCTATCGGACTTTTTACACATGTGGGTACTCAACCTGCGATTTTTTATTCCTCGCGAAATCGGAACGCTTTCGACTATGTTCCCGTTCGTGAAAGGGGAATGGAGAACTTAGCCAACGGGTCTCGCCGAATCAAATGAGCGGCCGACCGACATTGACCGTGAAGCGGGACGAAACGATCCCGGTAAAGCGAAAAAACCGTTCGTGGATTCCATGGAGGCTGTGCACGGCCTACGCGGACGGAGCGCTCAAGCGGAAGTGTGTTACGAGATCTAATGATTCATTCTGTAGAACACACGATCCGTGAGCGGCTGAAGAGACGATTGAGGTCACGTCACGTTTTGCTCATTCGTGTGTCATTCCGTCCCCTGCTTGAGCCCTTGTTCGTCGACCCCGCTGCTGGACGAGATCGCTCCCGCCAAGGACCGCGGGCAGACGACAGCAGATTGTAGTGGAGGGAACTTCAGCGAGTCCGAGGGCGATGGGGTCCGTCGCTCGTTTCCGTGCTCGTTCGTCCTTTCGGTCGGAATGGACCTCGGAACATCGGTGCGTGAATGATACCGGCAGAGGGCCGTCGGGCTTTTAGTCGAGACTTCAATCAGACAGCCTAAGTATCATCGACGAGTCGACCGTTGAGATTCCCGTTCGAGATCCCCTTGCCGATCGTTCCAGACGAGTCGATGGAGTGCTTTTATTGCCATGCGGCGTTTCTCCATCCCGTGGCTTCGAAGAACCAGCCGGGAACCAATCCGACTCCGATATATTTGACAAAGCAAATTCAAGTCGGGGGAACGTGCTTGGAGTCGACTCGCGACCATCCTCGACGCAAATCCTTGGCGGGAACCTTGTTTTCCAAGGATAAGTCCCGAGGTATTCGTGAGACAGGGAAGTTATCCGCCACTAGAGAACTAGGTCCTCTAGAATAAGAACGCGGTTTTCCTTATAGAGAGTTGCGACGGGAATCCACTTAACGCTGACGCTATATATAAAATCAAGTCCCTGAACCTCAGTGTAGTATTCATCGAAGTACCCGACTCTGTCCGGGGTCCCACGGAGAGCTCTCGAGAAATAGGGTCTCAACTCGATACGCGGTAGACCGCCGCGCTCGGCAGAGCTCGACATCGCTTTGTGAGCTCGCGCGAAGAGCTCAAACTCACTCGCGATAATGTCTCGTAATCTGGAGAAGCCCTTGGCGGATAATATTCGCCCGGTCAGTCGTAGCGGACCTCCTGCTTTGGAAGTTCATACGATCTCTGTGCGCTCGTGGAGATGCGCGGTGAGATTTCTATCCGGATAGGAACTCACACAACGACGCGGCATAGGTGAATCATGCATCATAATCTGTAGCATCATGCAGAGCAATTGTATCTATTCATCTCGATCGTTCCCATCGTCGAGCTGAGCTTCTTCGAGACTTGTGCGACCTATGAGCTTGGATCTCGATGCTGACCGACATTTGCTACCAGCTTCCAAGACGGGGTTGGAACTTGAACCTGTCGCCGCGCCGTGATACTGTGACGAGTCTCATGACGACTCGAGAGGACTAAGGTAAAGCGAGCTGATCAAGAAGTTGAGAGACTTACCGATCACGTCGTCGTCCGGATCCGACCAGAGAATGTCGCATAGCAGCCCATGGTTAGGAATGTCTATTGGTCGAGGTATATCCCGTAATTGGTTCAGGTTCTCGAGTTCTGGTGACAGTCCTCCGTGCATGCAGATGATGGTGTTTTCTACCAGAGCAGCTGAAATGAGTAAAGGTTCCATTTTAACTTTCAGAAAGGTTTTTTCTGTCAAGCGAAAGATTTTCTGCTCATGTCTAATCATGGATTCTGCTCTCCGGAATAAAAGGAATGTTCATGCGTCACTTGGTATTCTCGAAATTAGATCCTCGTTGGCGACCTGGGCTACGGGAATAGAAGCAATCGCGCATCATACTTCAACGGAGTACTCTGGGAGACAATTTTCGCTCCCGATTTATGGGAACCCGTGGCTCTGGCATCTATTGATTCTATTTTCGGTCGCTCGTCACTGTCCGCCTCTGTCGGCAGACAGCTGCCGAGCCCACTGCTGCGCACGAGTGGCACAGGACTGGGTCAGCATAGCGTGGTGTCTCCCGGAAAGATTCGATGCCTGGGACCCACTGCTGGTCAACATCAAAAACGAGGTCTTACCCCGGATCGTGATCAAGGAACGATGATCCCTCAACGATCCGACTCCAACCTCTGTTGGCGAACGTCCATGCTCAGCCCAAGTGCCGGGCAAGAGTCACGAGTTGAGGAACTGTACCAAGAATTTCGATCGCAACTCGCGACCGCCATGCCTTTCCCATGAAGTTATCCTCATTATCCATTCAGTATCCTGTACGATAAGACACGGAGAGGAGGCCTCCATCGTTCCCTTTCACTGTTCGCGAAGGAGGCGTTCTCGGTGAAAACAACAATGATGAGGTCATGCGGGAGAAGAGGAACATCGAGAAATGGGATACGTTCTGGAGCTAGTTTCATTAACTCAGCCCGGAGAGGGGCAACATCATGACAGGGAGAGATCTCGGACGGGGAGATTATCTCATTGACTGCGGCATACTCTGCTACGATAATGATGGGACGAATGCTCCTCCGAGAGCATCGGCCGGGATTTCGCTGGACTGGAGCGAGGGACCGAAACGAAAAGACGGAGCAGCAACAAAACGAGCCGAACAACATACAGCTGTTGGTACCTCTATCCTGCCGGCTCGCTCCTCCAGCTTGAGTCGGCCTAGCCATCGCATCGTTTGGCTCTCACAGGAACGTCTCCATCTTCCTATCTGGTCCCTCGGAACTCTCCAACGCTCTATCGTCAGCCAAGCTGAGGATCCCTCCCTGTTCGCCTTGTGCTCGTTGAGCGGTGAAACGTCACTCTTCCGTAGATCAAGCAGTCATTCGAGAACCACGTCATTCAACCATTAATTCCATCCCTGATTGAAATCTCGGTCGTACTTGGTAAGCTTGATGCTTCACATCACGTCTCCACGGATTTGAGGTGTTTCCCATTCACACAAACCGTGAGGAGAAGTTTCGAGCATGGGCCTGACTCAACAGGCCGAAGCTGAAACAATTCCTGAGAGACTTCCCCACGAACAGACGCCACGGAGGGCAGATCTAAAAGAAGTCGGCTGCCGGTATCGATCGAGCGATTTCGCTCCTCGAGCAACGTGAGCGTGGCGGCGCGAAGCTGCATGAGTCAAGGAGCTGCTTAGACCTCACGGTCCGCTGGCGGTCATCTCGCCGAAGGTGCAAGTAATGTATTCAATGAAAGTTTCAAATTGGGCCCACGATTATATACATATGGTTAATTGATTGCTCTCTCTCCGGAACAATAGTCTCACCCCTTATACATCGCTCACAGGGGGATCGATCTTAATTATTGGAGACCGTGCAGTCGAGATCGACAACTTCTTCGATGAAGAAGATGATGACGACGTCGTCTACGTGGGCTGGGACTCCACCCAATAATTGGCCGAAGGTTCAGTCGCTATTCAGATATTAGCCGAGATAGAACCCGGCGAGCTAATAGAGATACACGCAAATGCATCAACCGAAATATCCTCTCGGAGACTCAGAATATGATAGGAGCCCGGTTATGATGTCGTGGGTCGTCAAACTTGCCGAGGATGGATCTTTTTGAGGATTCTAAGGGGAACCATCTCCGTAGCATTCGACGGGAAAAGCAGCGGACAACAAACAGATAACTCGATCGCTGGTGCCCGTGCGAGGCGGTCGTTCCCGGTCGATACCTTCGCGTGGAGAACAGACCTCAGAATAGATCAGTGCTCATCGTGGGGACAAGCGGTGTGATGCGTCCCGATCGATCGAACACCTTCAGAGGTGCGTGGAAAATTGGTCTGTGCTCAATTGAATAAAAAAAAAGAAGTGTTTTTCTCTTCGGTATATACGGGATGCACTGACTGCGAGTCCATCACCCCGAAGAGTTAGGCAGATCTCACAACCTCCGGGCTTCGAGGTGGTCGACCGAGAGATCGATGGCAGATGAGACGTCCGCCCGATGGGTTCGATCCTCCACCGGGTTAATCGACTCACTCTACAAGCTTGGAAGTGTGCCTACTTTTTTGAACTTTAACTATGAAGGACCATGTTTCATTCAGTTAGGTAATCGACCTACTATTAGGACAAAGTCAACGAGCCCGTTATTAGCGCTTATGAATTATTCAAACGCCTCCCCACTGCAAGGCGCAGGTTGCCGGAAGCGGTTCTCAATCGTTGCTTCGGTCATTTACCACCCCAGCGCCGTCGTCAAAAAGAGCTTCACTCATCGTGGCGATCATAACGACGAATTGAATTCCATGGGTTCAATGAGTTCAAAGCTCGAAGATGTGAACGATACGGAGTAGCGAGCCGATCGACTCAAAGAAAATTCGTAGAAATCTCGCAGCCTTGGCACAACAGCTGACAGTCGATTCCGTGCTCTGTCTCCGGAAACTCGGACCGAGATGTTTCGCTTCGTCTTTCGTGCCCGGACTTGTCGGGTCCGATTTCGCCAGCCAACACAGAACTCTACAGGAGGTGCCGGGAAACCGAACTACCCTCAGCCAATGGCTGTAATGGGGAATTCGTCGCGCTGAGCGACCGGACGGGCGAGCGAGATGACGGGCGGATGAATAACATTAATCGGGCGGCTACAGAGCACCGTCGTATTTATAGCTCATCTCGGCTTACCGAGGGCAAGGCATTCGTGTCGTACGACACTGTTCCACTTCATGCGCGAGCCCCGTGCTGCGACGGAGCCGTGTCCCGTCGAACGCGACGGAAGTCCTTGTTGTTGACGAATTCGAACGACCGACGACGGACGAAGTTGCGACCGTTGTCCCTCTACCGACTCGGACCCGCGGGACAGGATTCTATCTTCTGCGTTCGACTCGATGAAACCTCATCCTTGGACTCGCTCAGTCGATCAGGCAGCCAGCTGGCCGCCCGATTTCGATCGAGTGGGCAGAGTATCTGAACCTACCGAGAGGCCGGTCGGCCGACAAACCGTCGAAGCAAAGGTCAGCGCGTTCCGAGACCCCATCGAAGGCTGGAGAGAATGGCATCGACGCATAGGGCAGCTCTGACCTTGAGAGTCTCGCTCCGGCTCCATTCCATCGCCAGTGGACGAGGTCCATAGGTTCTGAACCCCCAGTCATTTTGACTGCGGGGTTTGAGGAAGGGAATAAACCCGGAGCGTCGGTGGCACCCGCTGGAGAAGCTCACAGTCAGGTCGAAAGTTCGAGCGAACTATTATGCGGAGAGGACTCTCAATTCGCTGAAATGGCGCATCCTGAGTCGGTACGCCTACCATTTAACCTGCTGAACTTCTCTTCACTACAAGTCTCGTTCATCCAATTTCATCCTTGTCTGCCCCTCGCAAGGAGCTCAGTGCTCAATCAGGGAGTTCCGTGCGGACGGCTCCCGGCCCGGATAGATTAAACTTTTCGGGGCTCGTCGGACGACTCTTGGAGTGAACTATGAATATCCATGCCATGCTGTGGCACCTGACATTTAAGAGAAGCATATGTCGAGGGAAATGTGAATATTCCGGCGAGCCCGTCTATAGAGATGTCTTCCGAGGAAACGCTCCGCGCTGGTATGTTCCTCTCAAAGGAATACATAGGTACTGGATGAGAAGCGCCACCCTCCACCAAGGAATCCGGCGTCGCGACTCCGTCGTAGAAAATTGATTATCTTGCCGACGGAAAGGTTTCCCATATCGAAGAAATCCTTTCAAGAGAATCGCACTCCGATCTGAGACGGTTCACACCAAAGGAGAGATCACGTCTGCCAAAACAACTATACATAGGGGGACCGCTCGCTTCGGGAAAGTTCGGATACCAACGATATTGACCCCTCCCAATCAACTAAATCTAAATCATCCACATTCCCAGATTCAGAGCTCACTTCAAATGCCATTCGTACTTTCCGATAAATATTTCTCAAACGAGGTCGTTCAAATGATTCTTGAAGGCACGTGGCGGACTGACGGAATGGACGAGCGCGGATCGTGGCCTCGAGATCGTTCTCCCCTCATTCGCCGCATAAATACAGAATCTGTTCGTGATTTTCTTCCGTATCGATATATCCAGCATGTGTTCATAACTCGATCGAGCCCCGATAGTTGTAACCAACGGATCGTGGGCCCATGATTCGGCTAGGTCTGAGGAAGGTAATAATTGCATCGGAGAAGCTGCCAGTCGTGAGAAGAGAAGACTGTACGAAGAACGCCGCAGCCATGTAGCTTGAGAAAGGGCTCATGTTCGAGCTAGTGTTTTCGTCGAGGATCCTGTCGGAGCTCCTGGGAGGCTCTGTTAGGGATCACGCGAGGTTTGCTGTCAGAAATGCCATCAGAGTCTCTGACAGAGAGGCTCGACACCGCTCGTAGGCAGACCAGTCTCCTGCTTGTCCGGAAAAGCTAGGTCTTTGGAATCCATTCTCGGAAGTCGAACGTCTCTGGTGGCACATGATGCGTTGGAGACGGTCAATCATAGGGGAAAAGTTCAGTCCTCGAGAGCTGTGGCTTGCGGCAGGCCTCAAACGAATCAAGCGACTTCCGCTACATCTCCAGCCGAGCAAGAATACATGGAGAAGAGTGGGTTTCCACAGGGAAAAAATCATGGGGAAAATCTTGTAGGATAATCTAGCTGGGAAATCTCTTCGACGAATGAGGCCCATCGTCGATCATGTAAATGTACAGAGGACGATGAGTTGATGCTTTGGAATTCCCTCTTTCCCTCTCGGGAAATCGATGGTAACGGTGTGACGTAAGGAAGTCGCAGACGAACTCTCTTGGGAGCTTGGCATCGAAATTTACGGCGATCCGTTCCGCAAGTCGTTCCCGCAGGGATCACAATCCTCTATAAAGAGCTGTGAGCTAGAGCACGGGGGAGCCTACGCATTCTGGAGAGGGAATTTCGAAGGGATTGTCGCCCACGAAGTATCGATGTCGATCGTCGTATAGGATTCTCTGATTTTTCTCCTTGAATAAAAAGTCACTTACCGACCGGTAAACAGTTGAAACAGTCGATGAAAACTTTCCATAATTTGATGCTATACCGTCGCTTGCACTCCTCGTAGAACCCGTAAACCCTGCGGGAGGAGAACAGAGAATTAGGCTCGATTGTAATGGATTCCGGCTTCGAAATTCAGGCCTCACGCTGTGGCTCGGAGCCGCCGCCCGACCGATAAAAGAAAGCGAAGACAAATGCTTGGGCCCCTAATTCAGAGCGGGGGAGACCGAGTCGGGGAATGAGAGAAGAGTGCGTTGGATGGCGGCTCATTGGGAATCTGCTCATGCTCGACTCGAGTAGTCGTTCCTCCACTCCAGAGGGGATCAATTGTTTCCGTAACCTCTGGTCAATGAATGACTTCCAAAATCACTCAGTCGAGCAGAAAGTTTGTAGCTAGTGGATCGTGAGCGTAGGAGCCGCTAGAAAATGCGCTCAGCGCGGAACTTTCCTATTCCGCTCGATGGACTCGATACACTACCTATTCGGGCCGCACTCGCGCCGGATGGCGCGCACTGGAGCCGGGTAAACGCTCCGAAGTACTCTGACCCCTTGTTCCTGATCCGCATAGCTCAGTGAGCTCCACCGCGCGCCTCCGGAGCGAAAACAAGCAAGTGCCCATAAGTTTATCTTCCCGTAGGGGAGGAATGCAGTGTGCTCATCTCCGGATGCCGAGGAGAATATGGTGAGGCCCACGCAAGCAACGGGGGAAGACGAAGAGTCTCGTTTGCGATGTCGTAGATCGTGACGCAGAAATTCCATGAGTCACGAATCGTGAGCTCTCCCTCGTCTCGCAGTCTCGATGTCTCGATTTGAGTTCCCTCGCGAGGTTTCCACTTCGTGAAAAGTCGTTCTCTGGCGTCGAGGCATCCGTGGTACTGAGTCGGATGAGGACTCGTCCACCCATATGACCATCGAAACGAGCTCTGACATCTTATATCTCGGAATGTGAGACGTTTCCGTCTGAGTTTTGAGTGACGAGACTGCATATCGAATACCGCGGTGTATCCTTTCCGTCCGAGAACGTCTTCTGCGTACGGCCCGTGCGACTAATTCGTTGCTCCACAATTCCTCGGCGTCCGTGTTCGACGTCATTATCGTTGACTCCGTCGTCGTCGGGAGCGACGTCTTCGTTATTCGTGTGGCCTCGTCTGGCGTTACCACCGCTGTTGCTGTTCTATCTGGGTATAGAGAGAGAGAGAGAGCGGGGAGGAGGAAAAGGTTCTCTTGATGAGTTTCGAGTCGCAAAGCTCCCGCATTGTTTGCAACATGCGCCAGCCGGAGTTCGATGACGTGAGCCTTTGTGGCAGCAGCCGTCGAGACTGATAAGAGAAAGCGGCTCCGTCAAACATATTGAGTAACTGCCAACTTATTGCTACTCTGAGCGCCTTTCGTTCTCCTTCTGGGGCTTCCTCAATACCTCTCCCTCCACCACGACTCAGTATCCACAAGCCGCCGGAGCTCCTGTCGGCGGCGGATCGAGCGCCGCCACGTCTTGGAGAGCGACCGTAGATAGAATTATGTGAATGGTGGAGGACGTCGATTCCTTCGAGGCCGAGATCCATTATCGTGGTGCCCACATCTTGCGAGCGCTGAGTACTGTTCCGTTGGAATCGTTCGCGGTCGCTCCATCGAGTCCGTTGTGCTGCTTTCAGATGAGTTGATCACGGAACTATTCATGAGAGGTCAAAACACCGCCGTCCTCCGATGCTGCTGCCACCGCCGAGCCGCCGCAACCGCCGACGCCATCATCAACACCATCGTCGTTCAGGCCATCGGAGGCAAAACGGGCCGACCGTGCGGCCGGCCACTATCGGAAATGGCTCTCATTTTATTCGACCTCAGTCCCGTAGGTGCGAGATCTGACCAGTTCGCCACCCTTCGCAGGGTTCCCCGACACAGCATTATATATGTAAGCATATGTCCGGAATCTGACCTATGAATGAATATCTATTCATGCGTACGTTCACCCAGCAGCCGTCCGTGATGTTCCCCCAAAAGAGGGAAAAATACAAAATTCCTTCTTCGCGCTCATATACACTTTGAGCTGTGCGTGACGCGGACGGTAAGTTCCCTTGACGGAACACGTGAACGCCTGAAGCTTTACGCGCGGAACCCACATGCATGCACTCGAGGTCAAAACCCTGCGGGGAACTCACTTGTTGATGCTGGCGCACTCGTGGTTCCCTCGGAGCAGGAATAGATTGTTCGGGAACTTGATTTTGTACGCGAGGACCAAGCTGATTGTTTCGATTGATTGTTTCCCTCTGGAAAAAAAATTGGCTCAGCGTCCCCCTTCACAGCGCTTTGTCCTTGTACCTCGCGGGACTGGGGATAGTTCCCATCCTATCATTATTATCTCTCCTAAAGATTGTGTTGAGGGTAGATACGGGCTGAAAAGCGTTGACGTCACTAGGGACTGGTCGGACCTTCTTTTGGAGAGACATCTGCAACATGTCTATCAAGCTCTCTATCTCTCCGCCCCTCTTTTCCCGCTTCTCCGGCTGGCAGCACCTCTCAGATTCCGCTGTGAGAGGCATCGCTTCCCCGGGGACTCGATAAGACCGACGACTGAGGAATTCGCGCCGAGCTGAAGGCAATGGCCCGAACCGACGACGTTTCCGCGCGTTCCTCGGTGAGCAACGCTCGATCGCCGAACAGAGAATACTGCGTCCGACGAGTGAAAACCCCGAACGGCTATTCCGTGGCTGCCTGGTTCTTCGCACCGTCGAACTTACCTGTCAACGTAATCTCCCAAGAAGAGGTAGTTACTCGATGGAGGATATCCGCACTTGTCGAAGTGACGCAGCAGGTCGCTGTACTGACCGTGAATATCTCCGACTATATTGACGGGTGAGTTGAGCTCGAGGAGGGTCGGCTGCGACAGAAATATTTCTCGGGACACCTGGCACAATTGACGGATCTGTTGTTCGGCCAAAGAGACCTGTAAGCGAAAGATTCGAGAGACCGGGTAAGGCACAGGAGGGCAATCAGTCAGTCGAACAGTTACCCCTCGCTCCGCAGAGACGAAGAGGATTGCGGGGCATGATCATGACACTGGAGAGACTTTCGTTTCGAGTAACACCGACCGAGCGAGTTTAAGATTGGCGGCGGAGAGTTCGGCCGAGGGTAATCGAATCCTGTACATCGTTACAGGACGTCAACGCCAAAAACGACCAGGCGGCCTAGACTGCCACGACCAGCCGGGAAGCAGAACGACGGAGAGCGATTCTCGTCGGAAGAAATTTCCGGCAGATCCACTCGGAACTTCGGGAAATATGCTAATGCGGATTATTATGTCTCTCCGCTCCCCTGCTGGTCGCTGCCTGTGATGGGTCGAAGAAACAGACGCTGACGATTGCGGTAGACAACCAATTTTGGATTTTCCCGCCGAAATTTTCCCGAGAGGTTTCTTCCAATGGCCAGATACCCGACGGAAACCACCCCACGGTCGCTGGCACGGGATGCGGAGGTATTACCGCAGACGCAACCGATCGAGAAGAGCCCGTCACTTGAACTCGATAAACAATGATTCTTGCCGAGATATCCCGCCCAGATTCTGCCTCGGAGAATACTCAGAAAGTGAAGCAATTGACTTCATTTCTCCTGGAAGGAGACAGCAACTCTTGAGAAAGCGACCGACGCCGCGCTGGTCGGGGACGACGCACGCCGACGAGAGCCGAAAACCAGTGACAGGATGGGTGGTTTATTATTGTTTGAAGCTTTGATTCGAGGCTTGGTCGGGTGACAGACATACATTTTCATGGCATTGCTCTTTCATCAATCTTCCCTGGTGCCTGCGTGCTGTCTCGGATGCTTGCAGTGCAGGCTAGATGGCGAATTCTCCCCGCCCGCCTGCATCATTCATTACTTGCACCAGCTCATGGGTAAACTCGCGTCGCTCGATAAACAGAAAGGATAGGGAAGATATGAGCGGATGGGCGAGCGATCGGACGGAGGTGGGAGCTTTTATGGACGGGGCGATCGTATTTATGTTTGCGGCGCGGGAAGAACTCGAGCCTGGAATAAGGATAATCTGATTCCAAGGGAACGGTCCGCCTCGCTCAGAAAACCTCAGAGCCCACGGAACCCAAGCCGTCCAGCGGGAAATGAATCCACAAACTCGATGGGCATGCCGTGGCGAGTTTCCTCTGAGGCCGGAAGCGAGCATACTCCTCATAGAATATACCCCTGTACGGCCGCAGATCTGGAGGGGGGCGGATGGGGGCTGGCGTATAGCGTGGTTGGAAGCAATACGTGGAGCGGTCAGAGTGACGAGGATCGCTCACGACATGAGCTTATCCCCTCGGGACCGAAAGAGGCGTCCGACTGTGAGAAAAAAGCCGAGGAGAAACTCTCGACCTTTTTCTGAGCCCTCTGAAGTTGAAGAGGTGGGCGTTTTATAGTTTCAACGTTGACTCGGTCTCACGACGCCGACGGTCTGCATGAATATTTGACAGTGGCCGTCCATTGCATGTCAAAGTATACGTATGCGAAGCCTCCATTTTCTCCGCTCGGAGGGTGACGGTCCGCTTTTAAGATGGGTATGATATTCATAGATCGGCATCGATTGAGCCACGATTCCGAAAATTCGTACGAACACCGTATTCCTGATTTCTGAGAGGGCAGATCTGCTTGGTCTGTGTGTGTACAGCTATGGAGCAGCCGATTTTCTAAAAAAATATATCTGGGCCCGACCTCCCGAGATGGTGGGGTAGTCCCCGTATCCTCTTCCGTTGCTCCTGGGAATCTCTCGATAACGCTCCGGAGGCTTCCCGGACGAATACTCCGATTACGAGATTGACATGCCGATAATCCCTCTCTCCACGATTGGGTAGCGGGTAGCGCCTCGTCGATGGGCGCCTGTCTTCTTCGCGGCCGATGATTGCCGGAAGCCACAGCTGTTTCATTGCTTTCTGAGCTCCGCAGAAAGATCACCGTTCCGCTCACTCGATACTGTTCCCTTCACGTACCCACCAGAACAAGCGACTGCTGCGGACGGGCGCGGGAGCCACGTACATACGTAGCCCACAAATAACGAACGCTTACGAGGGCGCGCGGACCCGAGATTGTGGACAGACGAGACTGACGGCGGATACAAATTATTGTGATCTCGGTTACTCCGTTGAGTCGCGGTAGGGAGGACGGATGACCTCGGTCTTGTTTCCTCTCGTATATGCACACCTTTATTTCGTTCATATCCTGCATCCGAACCACCGTAAATCTGGGCTCCGCTACTATATTTGGGCGGTGCTATGTCATGTCGATATTGAATTGAGGTCAACATTGGTTTTGGTATCCGGAGGTTCCGTGATATTTGAGAAGGATCGCACAGAAGTCGCGACTCTTGAAGCCTCTATTGTAGACAGAAGCATTGGAAAGAGTCGAAGAGTGATGAGCACATGGGCGCTGCGCGAATGAATCTTCTCGAGTCATAGAGAAGGTTTTGGGGAGAGAAGGGGGGGAGGAAGCATGCCGAATGATCAGACCTCCCATCTGAGAGGACATTTCTTCGGCGTAAAGCGGACAATTGTGCCAGACTGCTCACTTCGTTATATCACGTCATTTATTCCTCATTCATCCGTCGAAAAGTATATCTGGATTGAACTGTACCGAGAGGAATCTTTTCAAGTCACATTGCGTCAAACTATACCGCCTGTCGGTGAAGAGGTTTTTGTAGATCGACAACGAGCGTTCAACTTCTGCGTTAGATAGAATGGCGTGTTTGAAAACTTCCGAATCTGCGGTCGAAATCTGCCTCATCTTGTTGAAATCGGGATTGTGGACCCAGGATTTCCTTGAGTCGCGAGGCGAATCCTCCACGAAGGTTCTCCTGGATGTCGAGCTGCGCTGAGAGCGACAATGATCGGCTCTCAAGCTTAGTGATTGCTCTTGGCAAGGCCGAAAAACGGACGATCTGCTCAAGCTATCGCTTCAAGTCTGTGTCGTCGACAATTTCTTTTAGGGAGGCACTATCTTCGCCTCCACCTTCGATCCTCGATGTGAAAATCCTGATCTGTTCAAAGCTTTCGTGATGGTGGACGGCTGTTCGCAAGAACGTACCCCAACGAGTGACCACTGGTTTCGGGGGCAGCGCTTTGTCTCCGATCAGTGCTTGATGTAGATCTGATCGAGCCCTCGGATACTAGGTCAGCACGCTCTTCATGTTCGACACTAGGGAGTTAACGTTCGGGTACTCGTCACGGACGCTCTCGCACAGTAAACGGAGAGCATGTGCGAGACAAGGCACGAGTAGAAAATTATGGAAGAAGAGAGCCATGCTCGAGCGGCATTGGTCGGTGAGGAGCAGCCGGAGTTTTGCGGGATCTTCAGAAACGGTTATCGCGACTCGGTTGACGATACTCGACAGAGTTGAACTGTTTGCCGACTCGACAAACTCAGTTCCGGCCAGCAAAGGGACTTCAACTTTTCCTGTCAGAGGAAGAACGAAAACGTTCACAACTTTCCTCTTGCGAGTATCCTACGTCTCGTCGATGTATACCGCGAAGGGCACCGAGTCCACACGTCGTAGAATTTCCTCTTGAATTCTCTGATACCCAAACGCAATGTACTTCACCGGCGATTTAGCGCGTCCTACAAGCTGGCGGGAGTACTTGAGGAGAAAGCTTTTGAACCGCCTCGAGGTCAGCTTGTTGAGGGGGATGTTCGAGCCTACAAACAGCAAGAACAGATCGTAATTGTAGGCGTTAATGCTTTCTCTATCGCCAGCCAATAAGGAATTGACGATTCCTGTTTGACTACTCGGAGTCTCATTCGGACGAAGATGTTTCGGAGTGTTCAAATGTGCGGAGAGGTTGGAGCTTCCTCTCCGATCTCTGATGGTCAGGCATGAGAAACATTTTCCGCAGATTACTGTATTTCCACCTAGCTTGAAGCATTGGTTCTGCTTTATGGCCAGCCAGTCACCAACTTGTGCCTTGAGCGTCTGAGGCACGGATCTCTTCCGAAATCGCCACAAGGAGCCACCACTACTATTTTAATGTAGTATTTGGGAATGCTCCAGCGGAACGAGATTGGGTTCCAGAACAGCATCACGACTTAGAAGACTTGGTGACGTTTTGTTCCAACTCGAACGACTCGTTTCCTCGAAACGTTCTAATCATCGGCGCCGCATCCGAGAAGGAAACCTCGGCTTAGATCATGCCTCAAGAGAGCGTCGGCGTCGTCTCGATTTCTGCTCCACAACGCTCTCATCAGTTGTCTATAGACGTGCGCTGCTTATCAGACGCGCACGGAGATCCTCGCTTTGCCGAACTCCGGATGTCGAGAACCCTTGGAGCTCGCGATTTGGAAAGGAAAAAAATGAAAAGCCATGGTGGACGACCTCAAAGCTCGGAAGCGGACATTTCTCAGACTGCGAGCGAGAAGCGGACAAAAGGACGGAAAAGGACATGTCCTCGTATGTGGGAGGTCTACGAATGATTCCACGAGATCCCTAAGAATCCGGAAGCTAGTCGAAGTTAGCAAGATACCCTCCACCTTTCCGAGGGACCGACCGGAACGGTACGTCACATGCTATTTGAGATGCCCATACTTGATCAAAAAATGCACCTTGAAAGCTCTTACGAATCTCTCTTCTGTTTGAATGAATATGCATGAACGATTGTGACGAAGATCTCATGCTTGATCGAAGAGAGAGGAGTTCCCGCGTCGCAAGAACGGGTCCTTAAAACCGAGTTGAATCAAACGGGGCCGAGGAATCAGTCCGTTGTATCCGAGTGTCCGTTATTCGGTCCGCTATAGCCGAGTCACTTATCAAGGAAGATTCCATAGGCTCGGCCGGGTCCGAGCAATCGCTCCGTTCTATCCGGGTCCGACATATCGGGCTTCCACTGCTTTCAAAAACTGGATAGTAAGATTGACTCCGATTCGATTTTCCAGGAAGCGAACGCTACCTCGAAAAGCCGTGTTTGCCTCCGGAAA